CAACAACAACAACAACAACAACAACAGTAACACCAACAATGTCACTACTTTAAAACCTATATTACGTCGATCAAAGAGTGAACGTAGCGAACGTGTCACGTTCAATGACATTTCTATGGGTAATAGTTCATTAGTTGCAGTTCCCTCTAAAATAAAGGCTAAAGCTCAAGATAAAGAGAGCTCAATACTTAGTATTTCATTTGAGCCTCCGACTCATATGATAAAAAAGAAGGGGAAAGCAAGTTCTGTTATTAGTGGTGCAGAGCTAAGGGAGAAACCAAAATCAGAAAGTAAAAAAGGTAAATCAGGTTCTGTTTTGAGTGATTCAATTGTGAGCAAAGAGTCATCTAGTTATAACTGGCCTAATAATAAAAAGCCCAAGCCCAAACTCAAACTTATTGAGTTAGAAATGGGTAACAAAAATGAGCCCACAACTAAAGTAAGTGATGATCAATCAGTTACAAAGTCCAAGGGCTTAGGAGTTGGTGAAAAACCTAAAGAGACACCAATACCACAAATTGGAAAGCCCATTGTGAAGTATAGTGGAAATGAATATGGAGGCCCAAAAGGCCCAATGCAAAATGGCAAGTTTGTTTATGGAGGCCCATTAAAGGCAAATTCTCTTTGGTCCGAGTCCGAAATTGGGCCTTCAGCATCTGAAGTGGCAGCTGCATTGGTCGAAAAGAGATATCCATTGGATGATAAAAAGAGCTCAGTCTTGGATGGTTGGAGCTTAGATGAGAGCACCGAGGGGCTCCGATCGAAGCTCGAGAGGTGGCGAACGGAGCTTCCACCGATATACGATCGTGGGATGGCCTCAAGCAGCTATCATTCGACCGGACGTCACCCGAGAAGGCATTCGGACGGAGGGAGTAGCTTGTTTTCTTGCTTTGGTAATATTTGTGGGTTTGAATGCCAATGCATTTGTGGTAAGCCTCAAAGGAGAAGTCTTAACAACAAGTATCGTAGCCCATCAACTGCTAGTCGATCATGGCTTTAAAAGCCCAATTCCAAGACCAAGCCCAATTAGATTTTAAGGCCCAGTGCAAGAAGAATGATATATTGGTATTGAGGAATTTAATTGGGGAATCTTGTTGCTTAGGTCGCTCATTTCACTAAACTTGTTCATTATTATTTTTATTTACAATGCTGTAACTATCCTTTTCCTTTGGATTTTCAGGAGCAGAATTTGTCAAAATAATATATGGTTTTCTTTAGCGGAATTTCTCATAATTATATTCTCTTCTTTTTGATTTATACCCCTTTTTGATAGTGGTAGTCTGTACCAACTTGCACGCACTTTCTCCTTTCCATACATTTAGACTTGAACAAATGGGAAAAAGACACTATGAACCTTAGTCGTCTTTCTTCTGTACATCCAAACTTAGGCAAATGGAAAAAGTCGCATCATGTTTTAAATGTTGATCTCAAAACCTTTTTTTCTACTTCACTAACCACTAAGCCACACCCGTGATTGTTACAAAGCTATGTGTGTTTCTAAATTTGAAAACCGCCTATTTCCTCTTCTAGAATCGACCAGAGATACTTATCTATTTTGATCACAGGTGTAGACAAGCCTTCTAATATTTGAGGTAAAAGAGTTTCTATAGAAGGCAACATTCATAAGATTTGGGCTTAACAAGCAAAGGAAGACATTGTATAGCCGCTGTAAAAATAATAGACGAAATTATATATATATATATA